ACATTTTTTTGCATTGATCTTGGGAAGGATCCACCCGCCAAGATTACACCACTGGAAATTAAGTTGATCGGGGACGCTAAGTCTTTTCGAGCCAAATCGCGTCGCTACGCTCCTGCACAGCGCAAATTCCTGCGAGAATATACCAAGCGCCTAGAGTTAATGGGTTTCATTGTGCAAAACAATCAGAGCCGCTGGGCTTATGCAGCAGTACCAGTGGCCAAACCGAAGTCTCCTGATGGCTTCCGCATGACGGTCGACTATAGTCCTGTAAATGCACTCACCATTCCGATTGCTGGAGCAGCTCAGGATGTGACTGACTCAGCAGAGGAGGCCGAAGGCTCTTGCGGTTATGGAGATTTCGACATGCCGAAGGGATTCTGGCAACTTCCTCTTCACCCAAACAGTCATGAACTCATGAGTTTTATCACAACCGACACAGTGTGGACACCAACTAGAGTGCCACAAGGAGCAAGTGATTCCTCAACGCATTTTCAAAACGAAATGCAAAAAGTGTTTGCAGAGATGCTGTACGTGCATCTCCTAGTGTGGATTGATGATATTCTCGTCTACGCTAAGGATGCACCATCTTTTGTTGCTACCCTCAAGCAGTTTTTCGGGCTTGTTCGCTCTCACCGCCTGAAACTCAGCGTTAGCAAGAGCTGTTTGTTTCAGAAGGAGATTCGTTGGTGTGGTCGTATCTTCAGTGGCACGGGTATCCGGCACGATCCGGATCGCATTCAGACGTTGCAGCAGCTACCTCTTCCGAAGACAGCGGCTGACTTACAGCAATTTCTCTGTGCTGCTAGATGGATGAGGGACACGCTCATGGATTTTGGCCGTACGATGCGGCCTCTGCATGACAAATTGGAAGCGGTACTACGAGTTAGTGGCCGTACTAAAAAGCTCGCAGTCGGTGCTGTTTTGGACTGAACGCCTCCAGAAGAGGGTCATTTCAACTCGGCTATACAGCTTCTCAGTTCATCGCGACTACTTCACCTCCCGAAAGCCATAGCTACAGTGGCGCTGTTTACTGATGCGAGTGACCTCGGTTGGGGGCTCGTAGTCACTCAAGCTGAATCTTGTGATCCGGAACTACCGATACACGAGCAGCGTCATGAACCCCTACTATGCAAAAGTGGCATTTTCGACGACACGGAACGTCGATGGAGCATCATTGAGAAGGAGGCATATCCAATCATTTGGGCAGCTCGTCAACTCGAGTACCTCCTTGCTCGTCCGTCTGGTTTCCTCTTGTTTTGTGATCACAAGAACCTGATTTTTGTTTTCTCGCCTACACACGAGGTCAAGCGCCACATCCGAGGCAAATTGCAACGCTGGGCGTTGTCACTGACCGGACTCAAGTACTGCATTGAACACATTGATGGATCGGCTAATGTTTGGGCGGACTTACTATCCCGTTGGGGCCTTTCGTCATTGGAAGAGGAGGGTGTGCACGTCAAGTGTAAATTTGTGACGCGCAGTCAGCAACGCCTAGAGATGCAGCTGACCACCAACTGGACCAGTTGCGGCCGCGCCAAGGCGACTTTGTATTCCCAACTCTCAACGACGTGAAGCACGCTCAGCAACAGCATACACAGAGTGTTCCAGTACGCACCAGCACTGATGACAATAGCGTCATAGTTTTAGATGGTCTCATCTGGATTCCACCCGCGGCCAAAGAGCTGCGCCAACGCATTTTGATTGTCGCCCACTGCGGTGGACAGGGTCACCGTGGATTGGATACAATGCTCACTACTATTAAGGAAGTGTTTTCGATTTCTGGTTTGGAGCAGCACTGCCGCCAATTTCTAAAGCGGTGTTTGCTCTGCAAGCATGTAAAGGGCGCGAATGTCATCCAACGACCACGGGGACCCACTTACAACGCTACTGGGCGTAACGAGCTATTGCATTGGGATTTTCTCTATCTTGGAGATAGTATTGGAAAAAGCAAATACCTACTCGTTCTCAAGGACAGCCTGACGCGCTTTTGTGAACTTGTTGCATGCGATGCCGCTACAAGTGCTGTCGCTGCAAGTGCATTGATTGATTGGTCGAAGCGCTTTGGCGCGCTGAAGATATTAATTTCAGACCA